ATTGAAAGAACTCAAGCACAATGTCTATTAAGTATTAACTCACTTCCTTCCACCAGTCTTGCAATATCTACAAATCCATGCCCAATTTAATGCACAAAGCTATAATTTCAGCATAAAGCTCACCAGCTAAGCATGGCCCAAAAAATAGAATAAACACTCCCCAGCAATCATCAGATGTTATTTATCAAAAACTAACTTAACTAAAAGCAACAGAAGCTAATTAAATATTTTAAATTTTGAGCAGCATGCTTGATATGATTAATTTACTTCAAGCACCTTGAAGGGTAGAATCAAGCAATGATGCAAATAAGGCAAAACTTGTTTCTCCACTTTCTGCCAATGATTCATCCCCAATCTTGCAAGATTTTAATGAAACACTTCCTACCCGACGCATTGAATCAGTGCCAAAGTCAGCCTCTGGGATTCCACGAGCATCAATGGATAATTTTCTTTTTGAAGCAGATTGTGTGCTGGCAGGTGTTTCCAGAGAGTAATCAGCATCAAAGCCTTCAACCTCCTGTTTGATGTTTTCAAGAACAAGAGCAGCATTTGCTGGGCTGTCAATATTCTGTCCATCATACAACAACCTAGCTTCATTGAAATTTGATACACCACTTTCCTGCCAGGGAGATATGCTTGAAGTTGAGTTCCTTTTCCTGTACATACCACATCGTTAAATAATATTATCCGTATGAGAAAATAAAATGAAATAAGATCATTTAAGAATTGAGCAATGCAAAGTGAGATTCAAAAGAAAGGCAACACCCATATTTACCCCAACATCATTTGTTTTCACCTGGAAAAATGTTAAGCTTGAGGTTTCCTTCAATTTTCTTTTCAAAAATGTCTTGCATTTTCTCCAATAATTCTAATATCCATTCATAAAGAACTTTTTTTTATCTTTCAATATGGAATCTATATTACAGGTCATTTGTAATCATTTGAATTTGTCTTTCAATATGTAATCATTTGTACCTCTTTGTAGACTCTTCTGTATGCCTCTTAATCTGATTCAAAGTTGGGTTTGCTGGCAAGGTTACAGGTTCCCTATCATTTTCAACAAACTCCCAAAGATCAAATTCCCTGAGGTAGGCCTTCATCTTCACAGATCAAGCAGAGTGGTTTTGGCCTGTAAAGTATGGAGTTTTGGGCGTGAAATTACAGGATTCCATGGTAGAAATCACTCTCTTACGTGTTTACACTCAGTTGATAATGAAAAGTTTACTTCTTGATCTTAAGAATCCCTCCAAGAGAGGAGGGCTCCATACCAATTGTTAGTTTTTGAACAAAGAGATTAAAATCTGAAAATGTGCAAAACTAGACTTTTCATTGAACGATTCTGCAATTTACATGGAAATAAAAGAAATTGCTAAAAACAGAAACGAGTTAACCATCTGCTGCTTTAAAAAAAAACCAAAAACAAAAACAAAAAAACAAAACAAAACAAACTGATAATTGGTACAAATCAAACGGCAAAAATCTACTTTTAGCCCCTCACCTTATCAAGTTTGAAAATTTTAACCCTTTATCTTATATTAACACATTTTTTACCCTCACCTTACTAGATTTGTAGGTTTTAACCTTTCACCTTATATTACGACACATTTAACCCCTCACCCATTAAAATTGAAGAAAATAACTGTTAACTCTATTAACTAACTGTTAATTGATTGTTAGCTTACAAAAAATTTCTTTCAGCTAATAGAATTAACAAAATTAATTTTATAATATTTCATTAATTCTGTTAATTGACTATTAATTAACTATTAGTTGATAAAAACTTATTTTCAGCTAACAGAGTTAATAGAGTTAATAGTAAGTATAAACTAAGGGTTAATTTCTTCGATTTTAATAGGTGAGAGATTAAAACTTATAAATCTAGGAAGGTGAGGGGTTAAAAATGTCCTAGTATAAGGTGAGAGATTAAATCCTTCAAACTTGGTAAGGTAAGGGACTAAAAGTAGGTTTTTGCCAAATTAAACTAACTGACACCATTTGTGTCACTGTCAGCATCCATTCCTTGCATTGCTATTTTCAGTTGTTTCCTATTGCTGTTGCTGCTGTTTTTGTAGCTGCTGTTGTTGATGGTGCTGTTGTAGCTGCTGCTGTTGCTGTTGTAGCTGCTGTTGTAGCTGCTGCTGCTGATGCTGCAGCTGTTGTAGCTGCTGCTGCTGATGCTGCAGCTGTTGTAGCTGATGCTGTTGTAACAGCAGCAGTTGCTCCCGCTTCCGCTGTCTATATGCTCTATCCGCCTCTGTTTTTTCGGCACGCCTTGCTTCTTTTGCTGCGTTAATTTTTCGAATATCTTTTTGTGAATCTGCAGTGAAGATTCCAGTAAATTGATGTTGCTGTTGTAGCTGCCGCTGCTGCTGCTGAAGCTGCCGTTGTAGCCGCGGTTGCAGATGCTGTTGTAACAGCAGCAGTTGCTCCAACTTCCATACTCTATCCGCCTCCGCTTTTGTCGGCCGTCTATATGCTCTATCCATCTCTGTTTTTTTGGCACGCGTCACTTCTTTTGCTACGTTAATTATTGGAATATCTTTTTCTGAATCTGCGGTGCAGATTCCAGGAAATTGAAATGTTTGCGGCATTACAGTGTACCAAATAAATTTATTGAACTAAAAAATTCATAATCAAAAGGTTGTTTTCAAGAATTTCCATACCATTATCTTCAGACGGTGTCCAAACCCCTTTGGTTGGGGACATGCTGCGCTTCCCTTTTGTTCTCTGCTGCAAAAACGAACCCGATAAGTTTGTAACAATAGTATTAGAGCAAAATCAAAATTTCCGATGAGAAACAAGAGGGCAGAGCTACATTTCGTTGCTTTAGCTCCAATTTGTCAAATTTATTTCCAAGCTGAGTCACTTCTCCTGTCATGTCTCTTCTTTGGGCCTTGACTTCATCTCTTAACTGTTTACATTCAGTCTGCAAGATGAACTTCTTTTCTTGTTCTTTCACCTGTATTTGATCTTCAAGTTCATGCTTCTCACGCTTCAATGTCTCGTTCTCAGCCTCAAATGACTTCTTTTGCTCTTCAAGTTCCTGCTTCTCACCCTTCAATGTTTCGTTCTCACGCTTCAATGTCTCGTTCTCACGCTTCAATGTCTCGTTCTCAGCCTCAAATGACTCCTTTTGCTCTTCAAGTTCCTGCTTCTCACCCTTCAATGTCTCGTTCTCACGCTTCAATGTCTCGTTCTCAGCCTCAAATGACT